TAGTGAAAGGTGAAATTGAGAGAAGAAATAGCTTAGTTAAAAAAAATAAATAAAAAAAAATGCCAAGGCTTTCGAGGCCAAGTCCCACTGACATCTCGATCGATTACGGCCGTCGTCCGACCTGTGAAACCTGATGGCCATACTTTACTTTTTTTTTTTTTTTTTCGATGGATATTAAACTGATCAGAACAGAAACTAGACCTGATCTTACCCACGTGGACAAAAAAAAAGAGTGCGTGGGCACTGGGCCCTGTTATAATAATAATAATAATAAATTTTTAAAAAAGAGTGCTCGAAAACGGCTCGATCGAGCAGTTACTGGGACTTAGCTCCTGGGGCGAGGCCCCACAGCAAAGAGGATTGGATGAAGCACCTGAATTTGGACGTGTGTTTGTATCAAATTGTGACCAGGTGCAGAAAATCGTCGGGGATTTCTTGATCTGCTTTTCAGCATCTCTGCTTAAAACCCGTCCAGATTCAGAGTTCCACACTTAAAAATCCTATCCTCTTCGCTAGTTGGACACTGGTTGATCGAGCTGCTACTGGGACTTGGTTTGTAAAACGGCCAATGCCATTTCTGTGCAAATTTTTTTGTCATTTTTAAATTTTAATTTAGTTGTTGCCTAGGCTACCAGCCGGGCCGCCCGGGGCCCGGGTGGCCAGCCCGTGCAAGGACAATGGAAGGTCCCAGCAAAAAAAAAAAGAAAACTCCAAAAAATCCGAAAAAAAAATACTATGTTATGTAGAAAAATAAACTGAACAACTTTTGCCTCAGGGTCACATCGAAATTCGTTACCAAATTTAAAATATAAAATAATAATCTTTTTTTTTTAATTTTTTTTAATCTTTTTGGCCCGGCCGGACAAGTGACCCCGGGCCACTCTGGTAGCCTAGGTTGTTGCCCATCTTTCAGCAATCAAATGCTTTGTTAAAATACCGTCTTCACCCGAATAAAATGCCCGGTCATTAAAGATGTATTTCGTTCACCTTTCAGTCCAGATACAGCTATATTACCCGGGCGTTGTATTCGGGTAAAGAAGGTAGTTTTGACTGTCTTTTTTGCGGTTTTGAAAAGCGAAATTCGTCACAAGCAGTTTCTGGAAAAGAAGCCTCTAGCGAATTGACTTGAAAAGTCAACCACTTGAAAAGTCAACACTTGAAAAGTCAACCACTTGAAAAGTCAACACTTGAAAGGTCAACACTTGAAAAAGTCAACACTGTTGACTTTCCAAGTCAATCTGTCCCATTCGGGAAAACAAGCCTCTGTAAATGAATGGGAGAATAGACTTGAAAAGTGGACAGTGTTTTGAGCTTTTGTTCCATTCGCCCGCTTGAATGTGGACGTGTTTGTGGAGAGGTACAGAAAATCGGGGGGTTTCTTTATCTGCTTTAAATTTCAGCATCATTCCTTGAAACCCATCCAGATTCAGACGAGTAATCTAATCGTCTTTGCTAGGTCCTTTTCAGCATCTCTGCTTTAAACCCATCCAGGTTCGGAGGTGTAATCTAATTGTCTTTGCTAGTTTGACCTCGTCTCCCACCCGTTGACAACGGCCATCGAGTTTTTTTTTGTTTTTTTTTTTTTGGAGTAGTTGGATATCTTATCCTGATTTTTTTATATTTTTTTTTTTTAATGGATATCTATTTCCACAGCTCCTATATTTAGAAGGAATTTTTCTTTATTAAAAAAAAAAAGATCTCGAGTAGTTTTGACCGTAGATATAGTTCGATTCACCCGCGAAAGTCTTAGGGCAAACTCTCAGAGTAGGACTTTTTACTTATTTCTGGGCGTAATTGAGGTCAGGTACATCCGTGTCCGCCCGTCAATGCGGTCACATACATTTAAGATAGCGCTAGTGTGAGTACGCTCTTATTGATGGGGGAATATTATCTGTATTGTATTGTATAAATAATTTATT